TACTAGGCTTGACTGAGATAACAGGATAAACTCCAAAACGAGACGAAGGCCATGTTATAAATTTGTGTTGGAAAATTTAGAGAGAGTTAGAACCAAAAATTATTGTTGTTATTGTTACTGTTTTTTAATGAAACAAATGAGTATTTCTATACCACCACACACAAAAATGGCTCGCTCTGGACAGACTTGGCCTGGAGTTGGTCCGTATGGTGGCAACTTCAATATAGCCATTTGAGAGAAACCCTACTCAGGCAAGGACACACTGGAGAGTATATCATCCCTCATCAGTAACTGGTTCTACTATGTTCTGCTTATACATAGTGAGTCTGCCACATTAAACTTTCTAATTTACTATTAAACCCCAAATAAAAGGTTCTTCTTTTATTAAGATGAAACTTTGGTAGTCACTGACAGAATCAATAGTGCTAGCCACTCAACTGATTTCTCAAGAACGTCAAAAGGAAAATACCCACTGAACTGGCATAAATCTCTGCAATGAGACAGATTTTTACAAACATTGTGAATACTTTGAAGATATTCACACTCCTCTGAGAATTTCCTTTTTCTCTGCCCACTACAGAAAACATACAATGGAGGCTTGGCTTTCTATTTAAAGTATCTTGGAAATGGAAATGGAGATGGAAAAGAGTAAAAAGACTAAAAGAGGGGGTAGGAGAGAGGAAAAAAAAAGGAGTACATTAAATAATCTTAGAAGCACATCAGCCCAACTGGGGAACTATGACCAAAGCAAGCTCCATAATAGTATAATGACCTTTAATGAGTGTCTTGGGAAACAATATAGTTCCAGCATAAAAGACAAAGGGCAAAACCCATCAGGGCTGTGCTGACACTAATTCAGAATGATTTTCCGAACAACTAAAGAATGTAAGAGAGGTAATCTGATCCGCCCATCTGACCTCACTTTGATTCAAGGGCCCTTCTCCTGCCATTTTTAATCGTCAAACACTCTACATTTCACATCTGCTCATATTTAATGAAAAGCCGACTCTCACCACCATTCTTTGAGTCAACTAGCTCTGTCAAAATGGGTACCAGCCGACCCTACGGCAGGGCTAGGGAAGCCCTGTGATTTCTGCTGAAGCATTGCCAGTAAAATTCTGCATGTAGATGGCTAGTTTTTAATGGGAGAAGAAAGGCTTATGTGGGTTTGTGAAGGGGCTCGAATTGGTATTGATTTTTTTTACTTATTATTAACAGTCAAAGGTGAGTGGTCTCACACAGGGAAGAATGAAATCTGCTTTCATTTGATGGAGTGATGACTGGGGGGAGGCTAGTGAAACAGAGGAGGCAAAATCCCCTCTGAGCTGTCAATACCAGTTAAAGCTTCAATGTGCAGCCAAAAGCTACATGTTTCCCTACAGTGGTTCTATTTGGGGGAGGCAGGAGGGCCATGAGATCATGCACAGGATTTTTCTGGGTGGACAGGACAAAACAATCCAAAATGCTGTCTTCTCTTACTCTTAATCCTTACCTCACCCAACCCCCCCAACCAAAGCTTGGAGTAAAATTGGAAAGCTACTGAAATGCTCCAAAATATGGTTTCTCCTTGGATATGGTAGAAATTATACCCCTTGGCATCCCCAAGTAGGCTAGTCATTTACTTTGCTATGTCTGGTAGGAAGAGACCAGGGCTAGGACTTGACCACAGGAGCTGTTTCCTTTCTTCCAAGTAAGGAGGGAACACTTAAAGAGCCAGTGAGTCCTAGCTGTCGTTTTGGGCATCTAAAAGCTGATTGGGATCAGAAGTGTACATCCTGCTTAAAACAGGAGGCTCTGAGAAAAGGACAATTAGAGGGGCAGATGATGATTTTCCCTTGATCAATCATAGCAGTCCTCCTCAAACCAAACCAAGTGTACCCCAAGTCTCTTGTTGCCCCCTAGTCCCCTGCTCTGAGAATCAATGCAATTCACTTTTTTTTTAATCACCTACTGTACATGGCCCACTGAGTTAGGTGTTGGGCAAAATGGAAAGTTTAGATAAAAGTGTTCTTGTCCAGGTGAAGCTCATAGCCTTGTGTGGGGTTTGTCAGTCTCCTCTTCTATCTTCTCATTACCTCCCCTGGTACTATTCTTCCTTAACACTTGCCTATATAACTGTTAGCACCTCCTAACAGATCTTTCCATCTTCCTCTCTGATGCATCCTTCATACAACTACCAGACTTCTTTTCTATATGCACCATTCTAGTTATGAACAAGTTCTGGCAACTAGTATCTAGTTCTAATGTTCTTCTGCTCAAAATACACAGGTATCAATCCACTGGGGAGCACAGAACAGAATGCAATAAGATGCCTAGTGGACAGTGTGGGCAAAGTTCATAACCAGTTGGAGATAGGAGGGGTGATGTCACGGAAGAGGTAGTACTAATTTGAGTTGAGCTTGAAAAGAAAGGTAGGAATTCAGTGGTCAAAAGTAGGGAGGAAAGGCATTCACAAAAATGGTGCAGTGTCAGTAAAGACCTGGATGCAGGGAAGTCCAGGGTATATTCAAGGGGAAAGAGTTCATTTTGGATAGAATATAGATTACATGGTAGAGTTTAGTATGAAACAAGGTCCTAATGATAGGATGGTACCAGAATGGGAAGAATCTTAAATTTCGGGCAATAGAGTTCAAACTTCCCTTTGTACACAATAGGGAAACATGAGAGATTTTTGAGCAGAGAAATAACCTAATCAGTTCTATGCATATGGAAGATGAGGAGTAGATGAGATTGTCTTAGTTGGAATAATTTTCATCATTAAAGGAATGAAAGGGGGAAAAGAAGATACCTTCTTTTGTCCAGGGTTTCACATTTGCTTGGGTTTCATGAACAAAATAATTAATTCAGTGTGAGATCTGCCCTGATGACTTTAAAGACCAATTATTGGAAGGAAAAGGCCTCTTTGAGTTTTTGCCTGATTGTATATTGGAACAGAGTGAAATTCTTTCAGTCCCTCTCTGCAACTCCGTTTGATGTAACTTTTAAGAATAACATCTTGTCAGCTGGCATCATTATGGAGGAGATAACTCTCCCAGGTATTCTCATGAATTAGAAGATAACTTTTTGCCCCAATTCAATTATTTCAAGTAATTCTAATATTGCCCATCCCAATAAGCAGTGCATATTATGAGACTTAGACCTGAGTTTCAGTGTTAAATACTGTAAAAAGGAAGAGAACTCTGCTCCATTCCACTCAGTGGGATTTTTCTCCTACTAAGTAGGCCTCTGAAGGCCATCACATTACCTGTGCTTTAAATTTCACCCTACCCTCCACCCCCACAACTGTACTAGTTAAAATAAGTAAGGTCCATTTTGAACTGGACTTGATTAAGCGTGACACTACCTTCCTGGTCAACCCTCTTGGGGTCTGGATCAGACCAACTATCGTATATGATATTTTATCTCATCTCTGCTAATGTCTTTCCAAGTAGTTGAGCCATATATAGGCACCTGTACAAGAAGGGATAGTGACAGTGAGAATAGAAAGGAAGGGACAGATTGTTTGGACAGAATCAATAAGACTCATAACCCAAATGGAGATGAGAGATGAAAGAGAGGGAGGAAGACTCAAAGAACATACCAAGGTGATATTATGGCTGCTGACTTGATCAAAGGCTTTTTAAAACACCAAACAGAAACTCCTCAAGGATCACATAATTAATGTCCATATTCTCTGTCATCAAAAGGATATGAGTTATATAATGTTGACAATAGAAACCATCAGCTTCCTAATGAGTAGTACTGTGGTATACCTGGTTCTGCCACTAGGCTGAAATACATATAACATGAACTCAGTGTGAAAATCTGATATTCTTGAAGTAATGTAGTATGAATATTGCCCTACTAAAATGAATGAAGGCATGGTCTCAGCACTGCTAACTAAGTTTTGCAAAGAGTCAATCCTATCAAAATCGATGAAACACTGTAGGTTTTCTTTTTCTTTTTCTTTTTTTTTAAAAGTGCCTGAATATTCTGCTCCTGTTGGGAACTGAAATCATAATATAATTTTAGGGGGGCTAAGATTTTTTTTCATATAACTTCACAATTCCCCTCCCTCAATGGGAAGAATGTTCTGAATTTGGAATTTTCCTAAGGAGGACCTACATCATAATAATAGATCATATTTATAGACATATAAAGTTTACAGAAGACTTGCCTCATGACAAGTCTGTGAAATAGAAAAAGCAAAGGTTATTATCTCCATTTTACAGATAAACAAATTGAGGCACAGATAGTTTCAGTGACTTGACCAAGGGTCACACAACTAGAATCAAACTCTGATCTTTGACTCTATGACAAATACATACATACATACACATATACATACACATATACATACATACATACATACATATGTATGTACATACATATGTACATACATACATACACACACACACACACACACACACACACACACACACACACACACATATATATATATATGCCCCCATTATACCACCAGGTTTGAGGCCTTAGGGCTCCTCTCTCAAAGGGAGAGGAAGGAATCCTGAGGGGCTGGGAGACCAAGAAGTAGGCCTGAATATAAAAATGTTCTTGCATCTCAAGACGCTTTGTGAGAAACTCCCTTAACCCACTGCATGTCATTCAAGCCCAGAGTCGGCATAGATGGCCCTTAAATTGAGACCTTTTTTCCATCCAATTTCATCACTAATGTGTTTGCTGTACTGTTGAGCCAACTGCCCCTTCCATTTATGAAATAAAAATAAAGCATTACTAGACCACACTATTTAGGTCCTGCTTTGTTAAGAAGCACAAAAATAAACTAACGAATTACAAAAAGAGAAAGAGGGACACTCTAAAGGCATAAACACAGAGACACAGATATATAGAAAGGTAAATAAAGGACCACAGGAGAGATGACATTAGAAAGAGCATCAGCCTTGTAAATGCAAGGGACCACAGGGCACAGCACAAGACGGGGATGATAATACCACAGACACAAAAGACACGGAACATCATGTGTTGGTGTTAAAACTTACAGGCATGTAAACTGGTGGAGCAATCATTAACAGAGACAGAAGAAAGTGGGAAGGCTCTCTCAAGGGTGTCCATGTTACTATGCACATTGTCTGACATGCAAGAGCAGTCACGCTCAGAACGTCCGCAATCAAAACAACATGCCAGTTTCATTCTCTTGTAGATGGACATCTTGGCTATAACCATGTGGTTGGATGGGAGGAGAGGAAGAGCGGCAGGTTAATGGCAAGGTTATACATAACAAGACAGCTGGAAGGTAATTGACGGGATTTAATACAGGCCTTAGTTTACATTAACAGTCTTGACCCAGAAAAAAAATGCAGTACGATTATTGATAACAGTTTGGCTGCACATCAAAAAACAGGGAAAAGAAAAATTGTCTTTGGATTCCCCAAGGCTGTCGTATGTTATATGCTCCCCCTCCAAGGTAAAATGGGTGACCACAGGAAAAGAGAATGGCTAATTGCAATCAGGTTTTTCTATGAAAAGAACAAATTAAAGACAGAAGAATATCACCAACATTTTCCCCCCGGCCTGATTACTGTAAGAGGGCAAAATATGCACACAGCCAATCAATTAATTGCTAATTTGGAACAAGAAATGATTTTTTTTTCAAAAATGCAAAAGATATCTAATATGTAGGCATTCCAATTTCCATCTATTTCTTAGCATTAGGCAGAGCCTGGGACAGCTTTCATCAAATTAGATGCAAAACGATTACGTGTTAATATAGAATCTAAGGATGTCTTTGCTGAACTTCCTGGGAGTGAGTTTACATGATGCCTATAGGAATTTAAATTTACTCTTGACAGAACAAATATCCAAATCTGTCCATATAAGAAATGCAGCTACTCCTGGCTAATGCTGCATATTTGACATTAAAGGCTGTTTACAAAAAAGAAATCACCAGAAGCATAAGGGAGGTTGGTCCACCAGAATATACTTAGCCACTCAAGGATGTATTTCTTGCTTCAAGGGGAGAGAATTTGAAAACCACATTAGTTTTTATCTCCCCCTACCAACCAAATCCAGATAAAAATAGCTAACATTTATATAAATGCCGTATGGTTTGCAATAGACATATATATGCTAATATATATACGCATATGCATAGAGACATATAATCTCATCAAATTACTGGGTAATTAATTTCCTTTATTTTGTTTTTGCTTTTCTTAATGGGGGGTGGGGTAAATGAACAGAGGATTTTTTAAAAATCAACAACAAAATCAAGACCTTATACTGATCTCATTTGAGATCTGAGCACCATAGTGGTTCTCTCAGAAAGAAGTAATATTGTTTTGTCCATATAGACTGCTGGTGAAAACCTAAATTGTCAAGGTAACACAACTGTCTAGACATCCTTTGGTACTCCCACTGTACCCCACCAAGCCAATTCATGTTGCAATATAAGCCTGAAAGGCTCTCTGGTCTTACTTTGGATGGCACCCCAGATGCATATCATTATTAATCACTTAACGTGAACTGGTCTGCATCTCTCTGCATAGAAAATTGGGGTACTCAACTGCAAATTTTTAGGCAAAAATACAAAATCCTCTGATGTCAATGTGGACCAAAGAGGGGTGTTCCTTCTGCCCACAGGTTCCACCAGAGGTCTGTTTTTTTTTTCCCTTTCCTCCCCCTAGGATGGCAGCAGTGTTATTTTAAAATATGGCTTGTGGTTTTGCCCTCCTTGAATGCAACAGTCACCAGGAAGAGAGGTTTAAATCTCTCAAATGGGTCAAGTCCTGTTCTAAGACCTTTATGACTTGCCATACAGTATATTTGTCAAGCAAGGGTAACGTTATGATTGTGAAAAACAGGCACTGGGGGAGATGAATGAGTGATCTCTTCAGCAGCAACTCCATTCCTTTAAACTTTGCTCACATTTCCAGTGACATGTTCTTTTAGCATCCTAGCTGGTCGAGTTATCTTACAGCTGTTCAGACAGATCATCATGTAGCAACCACCTTGCACACTGCATGGTATATCATTCCTCTGAGCTTAGCTTTTATGGAAAAAGATTTGACCGTGCTGTTTGAACCGAAGGGATCGGGAAGAGACTAGTGTACTCTATTCAGCAGGCCTTCTCCTGTTGCTGACTCACAACAGTGGTTGAAGCTTGGAGAAGGAAGGCAACTTTAGTATAATTTCATTAAAAATGAATTTTTGAATAACTAACCCAACTGGGAAATCATGCCTTTGATTTTTTTTTCTTAATTCTATAAGGGAAGTATTAAAATTTTAACTACTATTACCACAAATGGATAAGAAGACTAACTGGTTTTGCATTCAATGTCTTTTTTAAAAATTTTATTTTTAGTATCTCTCTTTAAAAAAAAAATCAAGTTATACAGTAGAAGAGAGGGCCACCAATTTCATTAGCAAAAGTCCTTGGTTTTCATTTCCATACTGCCTTTTCTATATGCAAAAATAGAATCTGACACACTTATTTAAAAAAAAACCACCATCTTTAAGCGTAAAGGAAGAGTGATAGTGGTGGGAGGCAATGTGGTGAATGGAAGGATGACTTTGGGAACTCTTTCCATAAGAATTACACCCAAAGAACTAAGGCAATTGAAATCCCCTACTCTGAGGGATCCAGAGGGAAGCACTACTTTAAACCAAAGCCTTGCAAGGGACTGTGTTTAACTGTTATTTCAGTTGGTCGTTTGAAGACCACGCATCATTTTGAGAGTTCATATTGTTAGCATGCAGGAAACAGGCTTTTAACTTGTTAAAATAGGCAGCAAAAAAAAAAAAAGACTTGCTGTAAAAAGATTAACCATTATAGCAAAGCAATATATGTGATTTTTTTTAAAAAAGGAAAACATGCGTTTCTTATTTATTCCTTCCCCAGTCATATTACACTCATACCAAATACACTATTAAAATTAAAAGAGAAAAACAAACAACATCACACAATATTAGCAAGAATGACTAGTGAGAGGACTGAAGACAATGCAGAAATGATTAAAGATGGGTTCACACTTGATCAAACTCTCTGAAAGAAATACCTGTCCCGAGTGATCATGTGCTGAGAGAGTAGCCACCTTGCACGGCCTTGGGGGAATATTCGGAAACCTTTCCTTTGAATCATCTCCTAGCTAGACCTAGGTACTCTTTTGCCCCTGTCCCTAGCCTGGCTCTTCTGAGCTCAGCCCTCAAAAAACCCACCTGGGGCCAGAAGAGGTTACCTGGCATCTTGTGCCCATCAAGCAGAGCATCCCAGAGCATTTGGCATTGCCTTATTCTACATTTTTTTTATCAGTTAATGACATTGGACATCTCCCCACTGATGGGTGGGATCTCTGAGAGTTTATAACAAAGTGAGTATTATTTTGGAATAACAGTTTCCTTAAATTTTAAATAGAAGAGTAAGAGAGGAAATAAAAATTTGGAGGCGATGACCTAAGATTTCAAAGCTTACTCCCTTGCTAACTCTGCTTCCTTTCATCCATTTGGTTTTGTTTTGGTGAAAGGTGAACAGTGGATGCCAACAATGACCCCAAATGCCTCTCTTTTTTTGCTTAAAATTGGTTCTAAAAGCTAATGTTGCTATTTCTTTAAGTCCGCTGCCAAATCCAGGGACAGTCTAGAGTGGGGATAGGGGTTGGGGAGCATTGTAGATAGCAACATGCCACTTAAAAAATCCAAGTCAACTTGTTTCAAATGCAGAGGTTAACTGTGAATTTTTTCAGGGCAGGTATGCCAACTCTTAGTCTGGCTCTACCACAGGCAAGACAAGGTGCTTCTCTCTCCTGGTGATTCCTTAAAAAAACACAATTTTTTAAAATAGTCCCCCACCGTTTGTCCTTCCCACACCATAGCCCCATCATTCAATCAAGTATTTTTCAATGGTAACAAAAAGCAGGCCTGCAAGGCCATCTAGTGGAACCATACAGAAGGGCAGCTGGTCAAGAGAAAAGATCTGGGAGGGCCAGCCCTCAGTGCCTCGGCTTTCCTTAAGAATTGAAATGGGGAACACGGTCATTTCAATTCGCCGGTTTCATTTGATCCAGGGTGGAGTTTTAATGGCTGCAGAGGGGAGTGGGGATGGGGAGGAAGGGACAGCAGGAAGTGGTGCCTAGCAAGCAAGCTGGTTCTAATGCTTTGGGCAGCATTAACTAGAACCAGATTAAGCCACCAGCAGATCAACTTGTGGCTTCCACTGAAGCTTCCTTGGCCATAAAAGACAACTGTGTTGCGTGTTTCCAACAATTAATGCACAAGGTTAGCTGTCTCCCCTTCTTTCCATAATGCTCCAGGGGAAGTCTCCTGGCCTGGGCCTGGCAAGTATCACCAGAGGATAAATTTGGCTTTTTTCAAAAGTTCCAACCTGAAAGCAGGGTTACGAACACCTGGAGTTGCTAATTAGTATTTTTTTTTCCCAAATCATAAAGTGCCTTCTGCTTGGTCTCTGGTTATGAGGTTGAAACCAAATGAATCCTCAGGCCAGGACTGGATTCTGGACCTCATTCCCCCCCCCCAAAAAAAAGAAAATCACCCTGCTGGGGTGTTCTTAGAAATAGCCACCCCTACAACCTTCTAACTATGTGTGGGCGTTTTCCTGGGGCACAATGAAGGAAGAAGATCATTAATGAGAGGCTGTTCACTTCTATTTCCTAGTATTATCTGCAGCGCCAAGGAGGAAGTGTTGGCAAAATGAAGGAATCTCAAGTGGCCAATTCGTGCTTTAAAATCAAGAAACGATCAGTGGTGCCACTGGAAAACTTCTCATGTATTTGAAAATGTGGTTATAATAAGGGAAGAGAAAACTCTGCAAAACGCAGCCCCTCTGGACTAAACATGTCCACATTGCTGATATTTCTTCAAGGCAGATTGACAATCTGCTGTCAAACTCAAGTTCTCACTTGAGTTGGCCCTTCCAAGCCAAGCCTGGAATGGGGGAGTGAGTTGGATTATATCCTGTCTTCAGTACCATCTGCCTCCCACATCAGCAACCAAACTGTCAGCCAGTTTCCAATTGTGGAATCTTAATTTCCAGGGTGGATTGGAGGAGGCAGGAGAAAGCAATACTGCACTGTCAGGCTCCAGATGGAGTTTTCCAACTGTTGGAAAACCATCTTTGGTTTCAAACTGAGCAAAGTCAAGGAAAAGACCAGTGTGGAAAAAAAAAGATTCTGCTGGACAATTTATAGTCCGTTTTCAGACC